TCGATTACTTTTCAAAATACTGACTTGGCTAATTTAAAACTGTTCCTATAAGCAATAACAGCTTTGATGAAATTTGACAACAATATAGCCTCGAAATATGGCAAAGGGGCGGAATTAAAAAATGACATTATTTTTATAAGCAGGAGCGCAGCCAGGATTCTTAAGAGGGAGGAGGTTCAAAATTGGAATCGGAAATTTACGCGCAACATTCTTGGCAATTAAAAAAAAACGGATAACGAGATTTCTGTTGCGTAAAATATTCAATTCATGACCGATGCGAGCATCTAAATTCTAAAGTGTCTTGTCGTAATAATTTAATTGTGCTCATCGTTACTCACGTTCGATTCGAAATTACTATTAGGATTACTAAAATGATAAAATACTATTCTAAAATAATATAAACTGCGTGATAAACTGCTAACTCTAAATAAATTGGAGTCGTATTTTTGTGATCTTGGGATTTGTTAAACTTGATTTGTTCTTTCGCACTCGAGATTATTTTTAAGCAAGATGTCGCCGTTTGAAAAATCACAAGGTCTTGGCAAAATACGAACGATTGAAATTTATTTTAGTGCATGCGGCTCTGTCGGTAGTTTCAGAAAGGAAAAATGGTACACCGCGCGCATAATTAATTGACTGTGTTTCAATTTCGCAGTTACTACGATGAATAACCGAAAACCTAACATAACACCCAATTTATGATTTACGATGTCTATAACAGCGTTTTTATTCTGACGCGAGTCTGCTGAAACAAAACTTATGGTGTTATCTTTCATTTTAAGTTTTAGTTCTAATATTTTAGAATGCCGCTTTTTAATCAAAAAATTTGAATTGCGGATTTATCTCTTTATTAACTATTATTTTTAGCATTTCGTCGCCGATGATTATAATATGGTAACATGTTTTTCACATTGAACTCATAATTCCCCACGAGATTTATTTATGACTTCTATTGACCCTAATAAAAGTGTTTAGTATTTAAATTGAGTAAAAGTACGTTTAACTTACTCAGGAATATTAATCGGAAAGTAACAATTTTAACATTTATTATGGGGCTCCGTGAATAACAGTCAACCTTTTCAAGGGCTCCGCAACGCCAAAAGTTTGAGAACCCCTGACTTAGTGAATAGAACGCAAAGGGCGCAGAAGTGCGCGAAACAGCGCATAAGAGCGGGAAAGAGCGCAGAAGAGGAGAGAAAGAGAGGGAAAGATTTTTCTTTCATTATTTATTAGCGTCCGTGAAATTTTGAACAATTTGATGGGAAACAGTATACAGTAGTAGGGAATGATCATGAGTTTATATCGGTACCGGTAATCTTTAACATCTTTAAATTGGTTTGTGGCATTTAAAAAGTCAGTCGCCGTGGGTTTGGTCATAGCGGCTATGGTTTTGCGGCAGCTCTAGACGCCACAAATACTTGAAACTGCACTTGCTCTATTCAGATGTAGCATACCGGTACCGGTAGTCACTTTGGTACCGGTAAGTAGTAAGGGAGGCGGACAACTCGACTACACGGACAACTCACCAGAGACAACTCGACTACCTGGAGACCTGGTGAGTTGTCCGTCTTTTCGCATTTTCTACGGTGGTGTTTTAGGTCTATAGAAATGCGTTTTTGATATTTTTAGTGCTCAAATGTTGAGAAAAATACATAAATATTCTCTAGAAAGCATTTTTATTTGTATAAGTGGCTTATTTTAATCATGTTGTATGAATACAAATACAGTCTACAGACGAAATTGAAGTAACGTTAGCGAAGTTAGACTGTTGACTTATAGGACTGTGTTCGTTTAATTTTATGAACTTTATTGGTATTAAATGTTTTGAATGAGCACATTTGAATATATTAAAACCTTTATACTTCACAGTAACACTTAAATATTTATGAATGTGAGCTCAGTAGTCTGTGGTTGCAGTAGTCTAAACTCGCCTACGGCAGTCGCCCGTCAACTCACCAGTCGAGCAAACGCTCTGCGACGTGACGTCATCGATGCTCGAGGTAAAGACAACTCGACTACCGAGCAACGAGAGTCAGACAACTCACTAGTCGAGCAATCGCTCTGCGATATAGATGCTCGAGGTAAAGACAACTCGACTACCGAGCAACCTCACTTGTCGAGCAATCGCTTTGCGATATCGATGCTCGAGGAGAAGACATTGCTTTGCAAAACGCAGACTCAATAGTTACATAGCATTTACTTAGTGCCGACTGATATTAGTTGTAAGCCAACTTACCACGGCAAGGTTTCAGTCATAGAGTTGAAAATTCTTTTTGCAGAAGAAAACCAGGAACAGATAGGCACTGTCGCTGCGCCTGGCAGAGAAACTGGGCCGAGGAATGGATAAAAGATGTTTACTTTTTGTTACGATTAATGAATTTATTATGATATTTAAATACTAAACGTTATGGGGAAATTTAATGGATGGAAGGTTTTGTTTTCTTTTTCGTTACGAATATTTAATTTTATTTGAATACTGAACGTTATGGGAAATTTGCTGCGTTACATACTTACTCTTTGCAATACTGCGGCCCGTAGATCCTTGAACACCTCCGAAGAAGAGAGTCCACAGATAACTCTCCTTCCTTAAACTGTTCCCAAACATGTTGCACCCTCTCGTTGGCTTCCGCATGCCTGCCGTTGACACACCCCACAACATTCTCTTCCAAAATATCCACAACGTCCGCCTCTATCCCTATACTTACCTCGTACATTGTTGAGAATATTCGGCGAAGTTCTTGAGATCTTGAGTATGCATCTTTTCTTTCACTGATTTGAACCTGGGCGTGATAAACATAGGAGGTATATAGCACAGCGCCATGGCATGCTTTATCAGGTCTCTTGTTTCAGTGTCCCTAAAACAAAATAAAACATGTTGAAACAAAAAAAAAACTGTGATGGAAACGACCTCGGCTAATGAGTATTTACGTTTGTAAGGTGTCAGGCCGGCGATAATGAGGCTGTAAACTCGGCGATAACCGAGCAGTAATCTCGGCGCGCGGCATCATCATCACCGATCTGGCACCTTATCTAATCTCATATCACCAATCTGGCACTGATATCCATGCACATTCCGGCGCAGGAAAATTGACTACGTCCACATCTTCAATGTAATTAACAACCTACTCACCCTTTAGTTTTCCGGTGCACGTGTGAAGAGATTCGTACTGGACTTCGAAGCCGCAACATGGCAAGCACTTTCTTCAGTATGGCCGGACGTCGAAAAGCAAGGATGCTCTTTCCACTTCACTCAGGCCATCATGAAGAATGTGCGCCCCAATAATTTGGCTCGCCTATACAACAAGTGAGTGGTTAACCATATTTATATATGTCTTTGTACTTCTTCCACTTCTTTTGTTTTAACATGTTTTATTTTGTTTTAGGGACGCTGGAATAAGAGACCTGATAAAGCATGTCATGGCGCTGTGCTATATACCTACTATGTTTATCACGCCCAGGTTCAAATCACTGAAAGAAAAGATGCATACTCAAGATCTCAAGAACTTCGCCGAATATTTTCAAAACACATGGTTATACAACAGTGTCTGGACTCCCAAGGATTGGTCAGTATTCGACGTAGAAATAAGAACCAACAATCATCTGGAAGGTTGGCACCGCCATTTCAACAGTATAACTCGGAAAATTATGCCTTTTTACAGTTTAATCTCAACAATGTACGAGGTAAGTATAGGGATAGAGGCGGACGTTGTGGATATTTTGGAAGAGAATGTTGTGGGACGTGTCAACGGCAGGCATGCGGAAGGCAACGAGAGGGTGCAACATGTTTGGGAACAGTTTAAGGAAGGAGAGTTATCTGTGGACTCTCTTCTTCGGAGGTGTTCAAGGATCTACGGGCCGCAGTATTGCAAAGAGTAAGTATGTAACGCAGCAAATTTCCCATAACGTTCAGTATTCAAATAAAATTAAATATTCGTAACGAAAAAGAAAACAAAACCTTCCATCCATTAAATTTCCCCATAACGTTTAGTATTTAAATATCATAATAAATTCATTAATCGTAACAAAAAGTAAACATCTTTTATCCATTCTTCGGCCCATTTTCTTTGCCAGGCGCAGCGACAGTGCCTATCTGTTCCTGGTTTTCTTCTGCAAAAAGCATTTCCAACTCTATGACTGAAACCTTGCCGTGGTAAGTTGGCTTACAACTAATATCAGTCGGCACTAAGTAAATGCTATGCAACTATTGAGTCTGCGTTTTGCAAAGCAATGTCTTCTCCTCGAGCATCGATATCGCAAAGCGATTGCTCGACTAGTGAGGTTGCTCGGTAGTCGAGTTGTCTGACTCTCGTTGCTCGGTAGTCGAGTTGTCTTTACCTCGAGCATCGATGACGTCACGTCGCAGAGCGTTTGCTCGACTGGTGAGTTGACGGGCGACTGCCGTAGGCGAGTTTAGACTACTGCAACCACAGACTACTGAGCTCACATTCATAAATATTTAAGTGTTACTGTGAAGTATAAAGGTTTTAATATATTCAAATGTGCTCATTCAAAACATTTAATACCAATAAAGTTCATAAAATTAAACGAACACAGTCCTATAGGTCAACAGTCTAACTTCGCTAACGTTACTCCAATTTCGTCTGTAGACTGTATTTGTATTCATACAACATGATTAAAATAAGTCACTTATACAAATAAAAATGCTTTCTAGAGAATATTTATGTATTTTTCTCAACATTTGAGCACTAAAAATATCAAAAACGCATTTCTATAGACCTAAAACACCACCGTAGAAAATGCGAAAAGACGGACAACTCACCAGGTCTCCAGGTAGTCGAGTTGTCTCTGGTGAGTTGTCCGTGTAGTCGAGTTGTCCGTCAGCCAGTAGTAAGACCCTGCTGGTACAGTGGTATGGTACTTGAACTGTAATCCTTTTGAGAGGTGCGGCGGTGTGGCTCAACGGGCTAAGCGTTAGGAATACGCTCACCACCGCACCTCTAATTAGGCTACTTTGCGTGGGTTCGCAGGTTCGAATCCCATGCAGGGATGGTTATGTGCGAGAGGATTGCTGGACTCCTCGTCGTCGTTGGGTGGTTCACGTAACCGCTGGTCGGTTACGGCTTCCTCCACTCTTGGAGTCTTGGTTGAACTCATTAGTAGGTTTTGTAATCAATTTAGATAATATCGATGAATTGAGGCCGTTGCATTCTACAAGAAAACGCAGCATCAGTCGGTCTCCAACAGAAAGATCGACCTTTTTAAGTAAGATAAGTAGCCTACCTCTAATATGTCTCGACTGAACTTTTCGTTATACTCCCGTCTTGCCAACCTACCCTAGTCCCTAGATAGATAGTTTATTTTGCAGACAGGTTCGAATCATGTGTTGGGTAATTATATCTGTATATGCAAGAGGATTGCTAGACTCCTCGCCATCGTAGGCCAGACAGGATTACGGGACAATTGCATGTTTGATTGCGCTCGTGCTCTCCGGAAATGCACGCGAGCGAAATCTATTTTGCAGCCCAGACGACGCCGGAAATTTGTGATTGCTCACCAGCATCATTATACCACTATCATGAAATGCCACTAAACTGCTATCAGGTTCTAATATTAGTAACTGACTGATTATAGACAACACACATCTTCCGAATTTTAAGAAAACGCAAAACCGATGCTGATTTACAACAAAATCAGGAGGCCTCTCTTGAAACGTTAGGCTTTTTGTTATCGTTACATTTTATTCATTTATCACGTTTCGTTTCTGTGCCTTTTATCTACTCGTCGCTGTCATTTTGCGAGACAAGATTGTGTGCCAAAGGGCCAGTCAGCCAATTGTGATTTCGGGTCTCCCTGAAACTAGACACTTTGATTTTTTTGTAATCCATTCCTGCATTTGTGGTTCAGTTTTATTAGATTTTGAATGAAATGATATTGTGCATTCCTATATATCTCTATATTGCAATAAAGAAATAGTTTTTCTAATTCCATAGGGTAAGGCGGTACTGGTACCTGTAATTAATTTTTCAATAGTAAAATAACGGTATGGCATCACTCAATACAAAATCAGACACTTTGTAAAAACTTATATTCTAATGTTTATGATTACTTTAAAACGAAAAAAAAACAAAAATAAAGAGAGCAGAAATGGGAAATAGATTTTACGAAGTGCCTTATTACCTGCTCAGCTTTGCCATATTTTGAAATTGAAAAATTAATTATACTCTACCCTATTAAATTGAGAAGTTTGACAAACATATATCAGTATATTATTGTTGCATGCAATATCTGAATATAGAAATAGAAATGCACAAGTTTATTCAAGATACAAAAACCCTAATAAACTGCCGAAAAAAAAATCATAGTGCCTGAAATGGTGCCAAAGAAGTGCCTGAATTTGCGAGTGCCTGGTTTTAGGGAGACCCGGGGTTTCGTACCGTTATTTTACCTTCGTTTTTTCAAGTAGAGGCATTCCGTCAGTTGCTAGGTTTTTACGTGTTTTAGGTAAGTTTGCACACAATATCAGGCGTTTGGGGTGCCACGATTACTGGTTGCATGCTCGATTTCTTGTGGATACTGGACCGACCGCTGGTCAGTTACGGCTTCCTCCACCATCAGGTCCACACATCTAAAACAAATTACTGGCTAACTAGTTCCCTTATGTACCTACATGTACTGATGGCCGATGTTCCCCATATGGTTAATAGTAAGCCATCTAATCGGCTTACCCAACTGTGGCAACTTTGGTTTGGCATTTGACTCCCAACTATAATCAGATTGGCGATATCTTTTTGATAAATGTTTTTTCCACTGTTCATCCTTTTTAGAAAATAGATCAGTTTGGCGGCCACTTGTCACTTGCTAGTCCTACTCCTTCAGCCATTGCGGAGTGTGCATTTTTGGAAAACAGGCAAAAATCTGGTGCTTGACTCACGACTCGAGGCATGAGCTTTTACAATTTGCTATTCAAATAGCTCGCTTCCTACTGCAGTATTCTATTATTTTGATGGTTTGGTCTAAGCATTGGAAACGCGCTTGCTGTTTCACCCCAGATTCAAAGATTACCTTGCCCTGAGTGGATTCATAGATTTTAATCAATGCATATTAAATGATTAACAACTGGTCAATAATTCCTATACTCACAAAATTCATTTGAATATCAGTAGTGTACAACGTAGTAAACAAGCATTCACCAAAATAAAAGCTATTATAGTATTTTAGTTACAATACCAATAGGATGAAACAGCTAGATTTTGATGTTCTGTTTTTCAATGAAATGCACACCCTGTTTATAATACAAAAAATCATGACGCCATGTTTGATTTCATATAGGCAGAAAATTTAATCCCATTTGTGAGCCAGAATACAAAATGGCTGGATGGTCTAATGGTAACAATTCTGGCTTCTGGGGAAACTCTAATAATCAGTGGTCTGACAACTGGGGAAGCAGTAGTGGCAATGGTCAGAATTGGGGCGGAGATACGCAACAATGGGGTGGTCCAAATAGTAACCAATATCAGCAATGGGGTAACTATCCTAGTCAGTGGTCTACCAATGATATGTCAGAGCAGGGAGATTCATGGCAACAATCCGAATCTACCTCAAGTGCTGGTAGTTATTCTTATTTTAATAAATCTGGTGGAAATCCAAATAATCCTCAACCATCTTGGGACTATGGTCAACAATCCTTTGAATATCAACAGCAGGGTGGTTATGGTAATCAACAGCAAAAGTGGTCTACAGCAACAGAAGATGATGAATGGGGCTTCAATTCTTCTGGAGTACAGCAGTCTATGCTAGGCTGGGAGAGTGGTGATCAACAAAGTGAGAAGGTGCAACCAAGAAGGGAACAGTCTGGGCCACCTGCTAAAAAGAGAGCTCGAAATGACAGAGGTGCACGCAAAGGAAAATCTCCATGGGACAAATTTGATGAATATAAATCTAATAAACAGTCATCTTACAACTCTCATGATCGAGAAGAAAGAGCAGAACCAGATTGGAGTGAGGGAGGATTTGATGGAAAGGGTAATTTCTATAATGAATGGAGCCAGATTCCTCAACCTGGTTTTAGAGGAAGCTGGGCCGGAGGTTTTCGAAATGATGTTTATGACGAGGATGCAATGTATGAACATGAGTTTGGTGCTTATCAAGGAGGATATGAAGATCCCAATGATAATTATACAGGTGGTTCAGAATGGGGAAATTCTGATCGACGGCGCAGAGGACCTCGAGAAAGTTCTGATGACAAAATTCTGTATAAGAAACACAGAACACTGACACAAGACAAACGGGGGAGAAAGACACTAATGATTGTGGTAAAAAATGTATCAAATGCTTTGCATGAGGCAAGCAAGACTATGAGTGCTGAATTGATGGAATCACTCAAACCTAAAATTGAAGTCAAAATGGGAGAAACGTCAGAAGAGACTACAAAAGAACAAAATGAGAAGGAGACTATAGAAGAAAATGAGAAAGATACTAAAGAAGAGAATAAGAAAGATACTAAAGGAGAAAATGAAGGAGGAAAAGGTGACAGACGGGATAGCAGTGAAAAGAAAGAACTTCCGCCGCAAGTTTTGATTGGTGTGGTTCGAGTTGGACCTGCTCAAAGGAAACTCATTACTGGTGCTGAATCCGATTTAGGAGCAGAATTCGTGGCAGTTTTTAAGGCAAATGTTTTATATCAAACATTTTGTATAATATTTCAGTCGTATAATATTTCAGCAGATTTTTTACCTACAAACTTCATTAATTAAAATATATATGATATGGTTGCCAGTTGCCACTAGATAAAATTTCAATAGCATATTTATTCACAAGTGTATTATATTATAGTATTACCATTTCTCATGAAGTGAGATACATGATCTTTTATACATGAATTTTTGTTGGAATGAATCTTAATATACTTTAGGAAAAGCCAACAAGGAGTTATTTCTTCAAGCTTGCCTCTCTTTTGCATCAAAAAATGAGGAAACCACTTGCAGATAAAGTCACCATCACACCTGATGAAACCAACAACATTATAAGCATAAGACCTGAAAAGTCTGAATGCCCTTACCCTATAGTCATCAGGTGCTTCATATTATTCAAAAAAATCAATTGATGTGGGGCATTTTAACTTCAAATTGTCTGGTGGTTGTACTTGTGCATCAATTAAATTGAATTTATAGGGTCATACTTCATCTTGTGATTTAATAAATCAATTTACGATAACGATAGTCTGAAATAGGAATTTCAAAAATCTTAATGCTATACCGGAATATCATGATTACTGCTGACAACAATTTCACCATTTCTTTTTACTGTATGAGCCAAGCCAGTGACAATAATTTCATCCATGTGGTGTGGAGACTATGATATTTGTCTAACATATTCGTCGACAAGATTGCATTGTTTGCTAATTTTATATTGTGGTACAAATCATAAAACCCATTTAATTTGTTTCATTTTAGTTTCACTTCACCAGAATATTCTCCTGAATACCAATCCACACTGCCTGAAGATACAACAGAAGAGCAAGTGCCATCGAAGGAATTTCTAAATGAAGAGAAATGCATGGAAGCTTTAGCAAAAATCAGAAGAGTACGATGGTCTTTGAGAAAGGTGCGTTTTTGTTGCCTATAAATGATTCTTAGGTTCGTTCAGACTCACCGCAACCAAATCTCTCAAATGATGTAACATTGTTGCTTCGTGCGGAACCATTTTAACTTTCCTACTTCTATCGGTGCTCCAGAAGTGTGTGTGCTAATATGAAGGTAACTAATTTTGTTCGCCTACTTTACATCAAGTTTGTAAAGGAAAAGAAGCCTATGGGCACGGCGCATATTCACTTGGCTAATACAAACAGTCCCCGAACTCGTAATATAATTAATATAAGGAAAATTGGAATAAAATTATGGCCTAACCCTAATCGGGTACACATACTACGGGAGTACCCTTCTGTCAGCTATATTGTGCAACTGGTGTAAAAACAAGTTTGGACATTACATTGAAATGTTTGATATATTCTTCGGTTAACCAACCCCTTTATTCATTTTGATTGAACTAGGGCTTTTGATTCCATCCTTCATTTCCTTACATTTAATTACAATTATGATGAATCCAAAATATTATTGAAGAGTACAATTTAGAACTTAGTTCCTGTTTGATTGCAGATCAGAGCTGAAATTGAACTTCCTGTAGTTCGCATCTTGCTTGATCTGAGAGAAGCATATTCTGGTTGGAAACATCTCTCTCCATATGCTGCTGAAGTTCTTGTACATCTTGTAATGGAAAAGCTGGCAAAAGATGTTCGAGAAAGCGAACTTAGTTTTTCAAGACTTTTTATACAATGTCTGGAAGGTAATATCTTCTATTTTTGTGAATCAGCTTGTATCGAGAATATATTATAAATGGACATGGTAGTTACTGAGAAATGGAGAATAATCGAGGCCCAGTTGGAGAAAGGTAGCAGGGGATTGAGAAGCATTCAGACTCCTTGAGTTTTTGTTCGCAACTAGGTTAAAATATTAAAGGCCTACTTGAACAGATCTGTAAATTTGTCATTGCTAGATCGATGTAGAATAGTAACTTCAGATGTTGGAATAGATTAGTCATGTACAAATGTATAATAACTGCATATTAGCAAAAAGAAGGAAAATATAATGTTTCGAATACAGTTAAGATAATATTCAAAAAATAAAAAAATATGGCTTGCAAAAAGTATGGTTTGTGTTTAACAGTTTTTCACTAATTGGGTGTGAAATGCAAATGCCATACGAGTATGATATTTCATTTCCTTAGTGATATACTTCAAATTATGGATATTTGGAATGAATTTAATGTGTCTTTGAGTAGACGTTGTCGATCATATTTATTCGTTTATATGCTAATTCAAAGATTGAATGTTGAAGTGAAAGCAATGTAAATCACCATTTTTTCAGTATTATGTCTATAACTTCTCTTGTGATCTCCCATCCATTAATTCCTGTTCTATTTACAGTGCTAGCTGAAGGCATGGCATTGCGTGGCGGACCAGGAATGAAGGATCCATGTGAAGCAAAACCGGTTGATGTTTTTTCATATCTCGAACCGCAACATGCTGAAGATTTGACCAGAGGTGCACAAAACGCCCTTCGCCTTGCTTCATTTGGCAGACTCAAGGAATTACTCAAGATGGATTCTTGAGTACATTAGACTCTTACATTCCAATGAGGAAAATCTAGGCAACGTGAAAAATAATAAGCAGGGTCAAGCTTATGTTTTTTAATCGAAAATGATACATTCTTCAATTTTAACAAGGAGATGCAACACGAGTACATACTTCTTTAAATGCATGTACATTAATGTTATGTACTTAACAATCAATAATTGAACTAGCATATTGGCTGTGCAAGATCTTCGTTCTCTTGGAAGCTGATTTGGATTACTGTAATATTAAATATTTCATGCAGATTCGCTTTAATGAAAATTCATTTTTTAGCAATTACTAATGTTTGTAACATAAATTATTGAGGGGGCCCTCTCCTATTTGTAACAATGCAAACCTTGAAAAAACGTAGGCTGCTTTTGGACTGGCGTAGAACATGAAGCTAAATTTTCGCATTCAGCATTAGACCCATCAGAGACTAGGTAGCTACCGTTAACTAGAGCCCTGGAATTCTAGTCTGTAAACTTCTATCGCTCATCAACTCTGGAAGATGCCCCGTGGTTTTTCCATATTTAGCTGACGCAAATTGGGCTTTAGGTATCTACCGTTAACTAGAGCCCTGGAATTCTAGTCTGTAAACTTCTATCGCTCATCAACTCTGGAAGATGCCCCGTGGTTTTTCCATATTTATCTGATGGCTCTTGGCTGACGCAAATTGGGCTTGGCCGAAGGCTGCTTCGTAACCTATGAATTACTGTAATATCAGATAATCACGCAGATTCACTCAACCATCTTCTACTGACGTCTGGGCCAAAATTAAGGTGATCTTCCCTGAATATTATGGTAACAATGCAAAACCTTCAAAAGAAGACGCTTCTGGACTGGCCTAAATTATGGAAAGTCAAATTTTCAATTCAATGGCTCCCGTACTATCAGTCCAGGTTGTTTGGGTATCAAATCTTGTTGCTTTGGCGCGCATATATCACAAAAGGTAAATGTAACTATAGACTACATTATAATGGAGCTTTGCTTAAAGCAAAGCATGGGCAGTTTATATATTATTGTTACAGAAAGGTGTACCACCTTGAAGCCACTGAGCAGAAGTTTATTGTCAAGCTCTTTCCACCTCTACCAGCCTTTCAACAACTCAAATGTCTCCTACAATACTAAGTTACTGACAAATAAAAAATGACACAAAATCCATAGCTTTTGTATTTATTCGTTCTCCTCACTACGTAATCTTGCGTTCGGGTTCGTTACATAGATATCAAGTTCTTGGGCCCGTTGAACTATGGTTTTGCGTTTTCTGCTGGAGACTGCATGAGCAATTTCAGCACAGAATGTCCTGTTAGACATCATCAAGACCTATAAAACAATATGTACATTCAGATTGTTATAAATAATAACACATTTAAGATTTCTTTTTTCATAGAATTAATACATTGTCATTTACCTCCAATTCACGAACATTGTGAACCAAAAACTTTTTAAATCCTCTATGGTCACGGAGACAATGTTTCGTTTTCTTGTCACTTCCATACCCAATATTTGGCATGAGATATTGCCCCTTGAATCGTCTTCTCACTCTGTTGTCGATACCTTTCGGTTTTCTCCAGTTTTGCTTAAAAACAAATAATCAATTTTTAACAGAATGATGGGCTTGCTCATGATTGGCTCTGCCAGTAGAATGGCATGTAAGAAATACGGATTGAAGCGAGACCTAAAGCAGTCAATATGATGAAAAAAACAGCTAGGAGGTGAGACTTTGGGTATAATATTCCTTGTCAGTGAGAGGATAGAGTTCACCACTAACAACAAAAACCTCTTTTCGGAGAAAGAGAACAGTCCATAACATCTGTAAAATAAGCAATGGGAAAGAGCTTGCCAATCATATTCCATATTCTGATCTTCGATTCAGCATGGCATTATGATCGGTTTGGAATTAACTACCTGTGCGCGTACTAATGCAACCCCATAATTTAGTTTAAGTAGTTCATGGCTTTTCTCAGTATTTGAAGCCAACTTCCAAGTGAGTGCCTGTGACCTAGGTTTGAATCAATTTCTGCATTATGCCCTGCATATATGGTGAAAGCCATAGGCGACGGGGTTTTAATGAATACATAACTGATTAGGACACTGACAAATATCCAACTGAATATGGCAAGAAACAAAATAGCACCGGCATGGTTGTTCTTAAAAAGCTAGCTCACGACTGCTTTGCTACGCTTAAGCGATAATGGACTATGTACGCTAATTAATTACTTTGGCAAGCTCTAGGACGCAATTGTACAGTAATTTTTGGATTGCATAGTCAGATGGGGGTTGGGAATAACATGTGCAAAAATTTGTTATGCTACGCCCACTGGAAGTATTTGTGGTACTAAATTACACTAGCCCGAATAAATCTTATCGCTAGTCTTAGCTCCATATTTTTCACCATTTACAGTTAGGGTCATTTACAACTAGGGATGTGTCATTTACAACTAGGGATGTAAGTTTCAGAATTTCGAATCGATTCGAATCAAACTCAATTAGAAGCAATTTAAGAAGAAACGGCTTGATTCTATTTAAAAAAAAAATATATAATTTAGATAACGCCGGGCGATTGCACGATGCAGGGGCGGGTCTCAACATCGACCAAAAGCGTTTATTTCCCCAATGTCTACAGCGTTCCCGAGTCTGGACACTATTGAGTATTTTATTTTACATGCGTCACAGCTTTAAGAGGAAACCATGTTTTTTAGACTATTTAAAATGTTAATGAGAAGTTTTACAAATCTAACATTATATAAACGTTTCCATTAATTATCTATGTAATGACATTATAATATTAACATTATTCCTCATTTAAAACATAGGTCTGCGATTTCTTCCCTCGGTATCATTTGCTTTCCCCTAAAAATATGGCGCAAACGGTACTAACGCATGTTTCACTGGCGTTTATCACTTGGGTGAATATTGAAAGTTAATTTTAGAAGAAACAATCACTATACAAACTACACAAAACTTCTCTAATATATTAGATAGTTGATGCAACCACTCAATGTGCTTTTCTACCAACAATATTCATTCTTCAAGTTCATTATTGATATCTTAACACACTTTATGCTATAGTTCTTCCAAATTTAAGGAAAGTTAACGAAAATATGATGTTATACTAAATAGAATCAGATTCGGAAATATTCGAAACTTACATCCATATTTACAACCCACAAAATCATGAATGGATGAGAGTAGATTCTCATTCAAGCGTAGCGAGACAGTAACAGAAGAATGTAACAAAGGAACACGACGTAAAAAGCGCCATGATTGAGTATGACCAAACCAACCGATGACAATAGATAAGATAGAAAATAATATGGTAGGCTTATAGACTCATAGTTACCATAACTTTGAATGATTTCACTATATTTTTAGTATTTTCATCAATAACTTTGCTATTTATAGTCCAAATTCTAAATATATTACATTGACATGATTCTCGGTTTACATTGATAACGCCTTTTAATGGAGTGACCGTGTTTTGGTGGAATTAGCGTTGGTGGAGGTCACGATTTGAGCCTCTCAATACTGCAATAACGTAGTGTCATTTTCATTTTAAATGTGATAAATAAATTAGACTGCGCAATTGAATACAATAACAGATTCAGAGATACAAAGACTTACAGACTTACTATAGGAACTGCCGAAACACAATTCAGTAAATAAATAAATTTCATATAATTATACAGTTATATGATGGACTTCAATTTAAACATGAAGTCTTACCTTCAATTTATCATATCTGTCAGATTGGTGGCGAATAAACCTCTTCACCCTCTTTTTCACTATTTTCTTCTTGACGATGGCGCGTGGTGCCATTCCTGTCAACGAAGAACAATCAGATATGTAGCAAAGGCAGACTTGAGTCACAAAGTGAAGGATGCATTTTAGATTACAATTTCACAATGCTCAACCAGATAAAACATTAAAAATAAAATAACAGGCTCGGGTAATATTTGAATCACCAATTAAGCAAAAAATAAATCATATTTATTCCAAACGAATCACGATTACTACAGATAATACTACCGACCTACCGAACTACTTGTGCGAAGACTAAAAAGAACGAGAGCACGAAAGTTGTCATCTTGCTGACATGAGTATCCGCGAGATGTCGCTTTTAAATTGAAGTTTTTCAGAACCGTGGTTTCGTGCAGGACCCAAAAATAAAAAAGGTCAAACGTTAATCTTGGGTCAAACGGTTAATTTCATACGGAAAGTTACAATGTAGTGCTGAAAAGGTACTGGACATCATTTGGACGTTTTAGAAAGATTTTTATATATGTCCAGTAGTTCCAGTAAGACGAGGCCCCACATATCAAATCACACTCTCGACTTACTGAGGAAGCAATCACTCATTTCTTTATTGTTTATATATTTTATTTAATCCCAATTGCATTTACCCAGGGTACTATATTATGCCATAATAAGCTTATATACAGCATTTACACAAGGGTCGTGAGCCTAGATGACCTTAATTGGTCCTGCACACCGACCCGCACAAAACAATAATCAATCGCTGTTAATTACTGATGAAATATTTTCTTTATTGTATTATTATCTATTATTGTTTATATTAGTGTTGATTTTGTTTTTGTGGCAATGAATCTCTCTCTCTCTCAAGCAATATCAGGAAAGGCTGATCATCAGTCTGTAGCTTCGTTTAGCAAATACTGAAGTCAAAGATACAATTGACAAACCCTTTTTTTAGTCTGATGAGGATTAAATTCATATGAGCAGTTGTTATGCTGATATTGTGATATTTATATTTACTGTATGTTTTTCATTTTTTGTATTTGACTGTGTATATTGAATTTTTGTGTTTTTTGACATTCTACTCGACGGTGTAATGAACGAATTGAAATCAGCGAAGTCCGCATCCCAACGGTCTTCAGCTCCGAGAAGATCATTTGCAACATAATCTAGGCAGAACATAACTTTTGAGCAAAAAGTTTTTCGATTTCTAAAACTTTTGGGTTCAATCATACACACACAGAAATTCAAGAGTGAACAAAATTTAATATATTACTCAATTTTCATAGAAGAAATTAAAACATTTATTGTTTTTTAGGTCACATATACTTAACTATTGTTTTATTTTATGAAAATTCAATGATAAAATAATCTAATTTGTTTTACGGCAAAATATCTCGATTTGAAGTTATATTTCAATAATTTCGTCTGTTGTTTTGTAATTTTGATCCATCCCAAACAAAATTCCGTAAAGACATATGTCATTCTACAACTAAAATTCTTAATCGGGCGCATTGATTTGAAGATCAATTTGTGGAAGTTTTAGTCATCAAGGGTGCCTAAATCGAAGAACTGACTTTTAAACCAGTTTAGGTTGGTCAAGAACACTATTCAATTACCCTACCAAAATCACTTTTTTCGACTGACTGTCTCGGCTATCCCTGTCACAAGTAAATTCAACGACATTAGTGATGCGAAAAATTTCCCGCTTATTTTTATGACGAAACAATATCAAAAGGCTATTTTATTATTATTACTCATTGTTACCTATATCAGCAAGTGTGACGCGGGCCAAGACTGAGAGAGAGTTTATTTGTTTTGTGCACCAGAAAACATATACACAAGAAAAACAGAATTAATAGAAAGCAAAACAGTTCTCGGTACAGACTGGGTGGTGACGATACGACTATGCGGTCATCGGAGTCAATGACAACTAGAGATTTACTATCCCTAGTTAATGCTTGAACCTATGTTATTCTGTAACTTTTCCTGCGACTTCAATATCAGTCTAGCTATTTCCATGAAAATGAATTGTTATCTGTCGTTTTCAAATATAACTGTGGGCTTATGTTAAGGGTATTGAAAAATTATAAATTGATTCTAAGTGAATCACGATAAAATTCTTCGATATTGCGATAACCTATGTGCAGTTACATGTGAAATACTGCTGATATTCCCAATAACTATGTTTTCAGAGACTCCCAATACCTTATTTAGTCAAATATAACGAATTAAGCTTTTTTGTGTAATTCTCAGCAAAATGATAAACGAGAGATGGCGATCGGAGACCGTCGACTTATCGATATTCCGCACGTTGAATATTTTACTCGACAATTTTGGCGGAATACGATTTCACATGACTTATTCTCGTGAATTGTGCTCTATTGGTTGGCCACATTCTGAATGATTTATCCTGGTGAAACACACAGAACTGGATCGTTTTGATCAGTTTTCAGCCAATAGCCAATTTACCACCACAAATGGCTAACGCCAACTATCCTATATTTTTTATGTCAAGTACAACGGCGCTAACCGCAATTGCGACGGCTATTCAACCACAGCCAAGCGATATTTTGGTGAAGAATTAGATTTGGTTTCAGCCAATAGCCTATGCCCTATGCCAATAATGCCATAGGCCCTATGGCCAACGTCGACTATCCTATAGCTCTATACCAGTGGTTCTCAAACTTTTTTAGTCCCAGAGCCGCATTTCAAACCTCAAAGGTATGAAGAGCCGCACACAAACAACGCAAGGTAAAATAGCAACAAACCTTCAGCGCGTAATTAAAATACTAAGTCACCGTAACAACAACACACGTAACAACTAGGGCTGGGCAAAATTTTCGAATAATAAAATATTCGAATGGCATTTTACGATTCGGATATCCGGTACCACGTGACCTGCGCCGCTCTGCTTGGACACCGAACTCGAGCGTCTCCAACTCAATCGTGAATTGTGCGAGATTTCCCAAAGGCGCTCGCTATCAGACAAAATTTGAAAAGTCGTCTTTGCGTTATGGTGTTATATGCTTATTTTTGCACCTAACGTATCCTTTCAATTCATCATTTTGCAAAAAAAAAACGTACCGAGTACCGACCGTTCCGTAAATTTAGAAACGTCAAACCAGATTGGGTATTTAAAATAAATTTCCCAGATTTACACTCGGCATGCTTGGTGGCATGTCATTAGCCATTTCTTGCATTACCGAACATAAACTTGCTTAAAATTAAATGTTAAAATGACTTTTAGGCGTTTCATTGTGAAAAAGGCGATTTTAGGTCGTTAAAACACTCTAGATATGTAAATAGCATGGATTTAAAAATGACCAAAAGTTTTTCCAAAAGCTGGTATGAGTTACTTGTATGGAAAACACTCATTAAGTTGTAACCGGATAAGAAATGTCATGTCCTACTCCCTTTAAAGCACTGACTCGTTCACGAATTGTTGCGTCTATTATCATCGAAAATGATTACAATTGTTAAATTTTGAAGCATTTGGGCAGTAATAATTAAGCCTCAAGGTATGACATAATCGAAATCATTAAGCGAAGTGCTGAATTTGCAAATTTCGTAAAGAAAATTGAGCATTACTCAGTAAGTATTTTAGCTATAATAACCATCGGGGTGTTGTTTTGTTGAAAAAAAAACGATAAAACTTGAAGGGATTAGGTATAATTAGAGTCTGACCCTCTATTAGGCACAAAGGCCTAGGAATGCCTTTATTGCCAATTTATTTAATCGCTATTTTAAATCAACATGCAGGATTCACGCAATCGTAAATTTGCTAGGTTTATCTATCTAATACTAAAATAACACGGACACCATAGAAAAGCATGAGAAACTCAAATATCATTATAATAAATATCTGCATCTCGGTTATCGTTCACTTTAAACATGCACGGTTAATTTACAAGCGGTGATAAGGAAGATCGAATCCAAGGCAGAGGATAAAACTCTGAATAGAATTAATTTGGTTCTAAAATTAGTCCTTAAATGTATTCAACAGCTGTCGCTGATGTGAACGCAAGGTAATACTAGAAATATGAAATTTTGATATTCGGCGACCGCTTATTCTTGCAAAAACGAGAAAGGGCAGAAATATAGAATACCAACTTTAGGATATCGCCGCCAAAACGATCGCGGTGACAAAGACAGACAATCAGACTTTTTAATGTTTCTATTAATTTCCAAATGGAGTATCGACCTCCGAAGTTCTGGATCCATGTTATGTATAAAAAAAAATATTCGAATTATTCGATTTGAAAAAAAATTCCATTTTGCCCACCCTAGCCGAACAGCTATTTATTTAGGCTTTGATTTCTGATAAGTTTTCAAAGCGGGTCGTAATCGTTGAGGATGTAAGGTGCAGTAGCTGCTTGAGCTGATCGCCACATTTTTCGAGACTATTTTCGATTACTGGAACAAAATTAAAATGCTATAGAAATTAAAATAATCATCGAGTTATTTGATTTATACATAAGATCTGGAAATGCGACAAAAACTGAAAATCCACGAAAGCAAGCCAATGATTACAGCCATGTCTAAAAATCTTTCCAAGTGAAAAGTGTCCGATTGGCCGCGAAAACGCTCACTGTTGCGTCACTATTGCATCTTATAGGTTAGTCAACGCTACGCAAATAAACACGGGGAATCCATTCGACTAACTAATAAACTTCAGCATTTTAATTTCGAGTCAATGATTAGTTTTCAATGAAAAATTTCCTTTGAAAATAATTAATTTTTAAAACATTAACGGGAGCCGCAGGAAAGGTTGTTGAGAGCCGCATGCGGCTCTCAAACCCTAGTTTGAGAATCACTGCTCTATACTATAGTTTGTGTCAGGTGCAAAGATAGTAGGCTATACGACGGATGCGAGACTATCCTATAGCCTTATAGTTTGTGTCAAATGCAAAGATAGAATACGAAGGATGGTTCCGATGGTATCCGAAATGGCTTTATACAACGATTCCATTTCAGTGATGTCGAAGCGGCGTGTAACCAAAATACCTAAACGCTCAACATCTCAGACAAAGCAATGTTACGCACACGCACAATCGTACGAAAAAGGGGATCCCCCAAAATCGAAACTGCGGTTTCGATTTTTTTCACTCTGAACCCCCCCCCCCCTAATCTTGAGGTGCGATTCCACACTGTAATTTATAACTCAAGTATAATTGTATTCAACGACAAGAGAGCAATGCTCAAATATATGGACACGCAAAACAATTCCCCAAAAATCATATACGGTGACTTATCAGTACCTTTATAAACAAAGCACCACATGCCACCAATCAAACAGACGAAAGCAAATTGGTTGACAAAGATATTATCGACGTGG